ATCCTACTCCATTATAACTTCATCTTAACCTTAACTAATTACATCTGCAGCAATTCTGTCTCCAAATCGGGTCACATTCTGAGATACTGGGGGTCAGGACTTCAACATGTCTTTTTGGAGGACAGAATTCAACCCGTAACAAAGAGTAATCCAAGAAAGTAGGTCAAGAACCAAAATACCAGGAGACAAGGAGATCACAATAAGAGAGGAAGAATTGTGAGAAAGCACAACTGGTCAATGGTTTTAGAAACCCGTTGCGGTGCACGATGCCTTTTTGCTGATGGACTATGAGCCCTTGCCTCGTCAGCACTGGGTCCAGGTTCATTGTGGCAATTCAATATTTGGTATTGAAGATATTATTTATTCATTCATTATAAGGAGCAAGGTAGAACAGAACAAATGGGAAAATAAAAAATAATAAAATTTAGATTTGGCAAGATTATTCGTGACCAGGTTCAATAGTATGACAAAGGAAGGTTCAGGAGGAGCTAGACAATAAAGAAATGGAAACTTCTAGTCATTGTGCAACCAGTTGCTCCTCCCCACTCTTCCAAGGGCATCTCAAATGCATAGTTTTACCCACAGCCCCCTGGCTCCATTTTTTCCCATCCGTCTTTTATCCCCTTCAAAATGATCTCAGGGTTTTTTCCCCACTGTACACAAACTGCTATCTTAAAATTTCACCACATCCAATTGGCTTTTTCAGTTCTCATTATCTTTGTTCTCTGAAAGAGGAGGAGATAAAAATGCATATTTATACATTTAGATAGATATAAATACATCGTTATACATATTTGTTCATTCAACAAAAGTTTATCTACCATCTACCAAGTCAGACATGGTTATATGTTCTGTGAATACTCTCAAAGAGGTTACCTTCAGTTGGGAAGACAGAAAATAGTCCAGTAGTTAAGTAGCTAAGATAATGTTACATAAATATATCATAAACCAGAGGGGACGTAAATCAAACCAGGTAATGTGACAGAGAGTGACTGGGTAGGGGATAGAGGACAAGGACCAACACAGTAGTTGAGGAGGTCCTGTCTGCAGAACTGGCATTTGAGTTGAATCCTGGACACAAATGCACATTGCGCACAGCCCAGGGCAGGCTAGCTCTGTGTTGGCCCAGCGTGTGGAGGTTACATAGAGGCAGAATCGGGCACAATATCAGAAAGGCTTTTCAGACCATCAGAGCTGCCATTCGTGGAATGCACTGCCTGCATTGTCATGAGCTCCCCGTGTTCAGAGGTGTTCAAGCTTTATGAAGGATGACCATCAATAAAGAAGACTGTAGAAGAAATTTCTAGAATCTGTTGCAGATTGGGCTCAATGGAAGGACTCTTTACCTCTAAAAGTCTCTGACTTGCCATCAGGGTCCTGCTCACCCAGCTGAGCAACTGCCTGACACAGGCAATGGGGAGCATTGCTGCTTATCTGTGGGCAGGACACAGGCCCACACAATGTGGAGAACAACCCCCACTTCCAGGGATGGTTTGAGGTCCCTCAAGCAGAGCCATGCATGGTGAGTTGAGAGAGGACCAGCTTGCAAGAGAGAAGGCAGCTGACCAGCTGCCCTGACAAGACGAGCACTCCTGGGGGTAGCAGTGTGATGGGTGGCTCCATCATTGCATCTCCCCAACTGTGTGCAGCGTTTCTTTGTGGGAGGCATGTGTATTCTATATGTTCCCCTGTCTGCACATTCTCACAGTTGTGTTCCTGGAATTCTGAGGCAGGCTTTGCCCACCATGTGAACATTACCATGCATGCAAGCCCAGTCCTGTTTCCTCTTTCATTGGCAATGCTGGTTAAAGGACACAGAGCCAGCTTCCTGATCACTAGATAAAACAAGTAAGAGGAACGCAGCAGGTCGACACCTTTGTGTGTCATGCCAGGGACACAGGTGGGGGCAATATCCCATTAGCAAATATCCCCTGCTCTCGGACCTGACAGCGTGGCACTGAATCCCACAGCATTATATTGCCCAAGCCCCTCCAAGGGTCAGCTCTCCCTCTGGTCCCTATTCAGACAGTTATTCAGAAAATATCAACAGTCAACCATATGTCAAGCCTTGGGTTAGACCAGTGCTGCCCAATAAGGTAGCCACTGGCCACGTGTGGCTTTTGAGCACTTGAAATGTCGCTAGTCCAAATTGAGTTATTCTGTGAGAGTAAAAGACACACCGGATTTTTAAGAGGTAGTACAAACAAACAGAGAATGGAAAATATTAACAATTTTCATACTGATTAGAGGTTGAAGTGATACTATTCCAGATATATGGGATTAAGTAATATATATTATTAAATTTAATCTTGCCTGCTTCTTTTAATGTTTCTAATGTGGCTACTAGAAAATTTAAAATTGCATATGTGGCTTGCGTTATCTTTCTATTGGACAGCACTGGGGTAGACCCTGTTGAGTGGTCATTTTTCTATTTCTACAAGAAATGTTTATTGAGCAACCAGCATATCTGAGTGTAGCGGATACTCCTCATCGCATAGAGTTTTTGGAAGAGCCTTCCTATAGTCTAACATGGGGATAATATTTTCCCATGAATTAGAGAACACCCAAGGGAAAAAGTAAGATGCCATGACACCGGAGAAATTTAGAGAAGGGAGAGTAGTGACCAAAGCCTCCTGGTCATTCTGTGACTTACACCATCCCTGTGTCTGTGTGGAATCCATGGCTTAGGGTTCCCGATGTTTTTCCTTTTTATGACAGTTTTTTTCCCCCAAAGTCACCCATAATTGCACCAGCTAAAGGAAATCACTGTTCACAATTTGGTATCCTCCTTTCCAGCCCTTTGTTGCAGAAACATCTCAAAAGCAGATATGTATATCCTCAGGCTTCTCCCCACTGCGAAGGTGGGAAGTGGGCAGAATTTGTGCCTGGAGTCTTGCTTCCAGCACTAGCTTTCCACTAGGCAGGCTACATACCCTGGAGGCCTGAGATTCTAACCAGAAAGCTGAAATCTAAAAGACTCTTGGAGCCAGCATCTCTTTCCTCCCCCTCTACCCAGCTTCTTCCCCCTCCCCCTCCTTTTTCTTCTCCTCTTCCTTCCCACCCTCAGTCTGGATCCCGGTCTCTGGGAAACACTCCTCGAACTTCCTCGGGACCAGAGCACAGACAGCATCTATTTCCTTCCAGCACTTCCCTTCCTCTTGTAATGTCTCATTAATCTACACTAATGATTTTGGAAAAGGTTCAGAGATAATGACAGCTGGCCCCAAACAGGGTAAGACCTGCACAGGAACAGCAGAGACAATCAGATGTGGATGAGAAAAGGTCATTTGCCGCCTGACTCCATGGACAGTGCTGGCCACAAGGGAGGCTCTGGGGTCCACTCAGCACAGCAGCTTCAGGGAAACTGGACTCTCATTTCCCCCTACCCCCTCACCCCGCCCATTCCTCTTCCTCAAGAAATTCACACTCCTCCCCTCCCACAGACCCTCAGAGGGGCAGTGCTTACTTGCTGCCTAACCAAACATACTCTTAAGCTTGGTTCAAGCCTACCGAACTAGAATTTACGGAATTCAGATGTAGCTTCTTTATCTCCCTCCCCATCCCACCAATCCCTTTCTTCTTCCATCTTCCCCATCTCAGAAAATAGTACCACCATCCAAAAAATTTCTTTGTCATTTCTGCTGCTGCTTTTTCCTTTTCTATTTCAAAACATTTGTTAAATTTACTTTTAAATTTCCATACATTAAAATTGGCTTTTGGTGGAACCGTTGCTGGAAAACTACTCAACAATAAAAGGAATGGACTATTGAAGCACACGACAGTGTGGATGAATCTCAAAGGCGTTCCGCTGATTGAGTGAAGCTGGTCTCAGAAGGTTATATACTTATGATTTCATAAATATGACATTCTGGAAAAGGTCAAACTATAGGGACAGAGAACAGATCAGTGATTGCCAGGATTAAGGGTTAGGATATACCACAATGTGTTTATTGATTCACTCACTGAAGGACATTTAGGGTACAAGTTTTTGTTTGGATGTAAGTTTTTATTTCTCTTGGGTGAATACCTAGGAGTGGGATTTCTGGGTCATCTGGTATATTTATGTTTAATTTAGTAAGTTAAACCAATAACTTAGATTGGCTTATATAAACCAATAAGTCAAACTATTTTCCCAAGTGGCTGTCATCCATTCAATTTTTAAAGTCAAAAGCTAGAAATCATTCTTTATCACTCTCTTTCTCTAACTCCCCACATTCATTCTATCTGCAATTCTTCATGGTTCTCCCTCCAAACTATTGCTTCAAATGGTCCATTTCCATCCATCTTCCCTGCCACTGTCTCAACGGAAGTCACCATTATCTCTTGCCAGGGCTACTGCAAGACTGCCTGCAAACCTCCCACATCCTCTCTGCCCTCTCCCGCTACAGCCCTTTCGCCACAAGGCAGCCATTGTGATTCTTTTAAGACATTAATCAGATCAGCTAACTGCCTACTTCAAGCCCCTCATTGACGTCCCACTGCCCTTGGCCTTCGGAGCACTCAGTGATCTGGCCTTTGCCTACAGCTCAGCCCTCTTTCCACTCCCCTCTGCATTTCCTCTGCTGAAGTCAGCTGGCCTTCCGTATGTTCCAGACGAGCCGGGTTCTCCCACCTCGGGGCCTGTGGCCATGCTGCCTACTCTGTAGAATGCTCTTCTCTGGGCTCTGTGCATGTTGGCTCCTTTACGTGCTAGTTTAAGGGCCACCTTCTCAGAGGGCCTTCATAGCTATCAGGGCACCTATCCAAATTGGTTACTTTTATGTTAACTTGTTGTCTATGTCTTTCTAACTAAAACAGGAGCACTGTTAAAACAGGGATCTCATCGGGCTGTTGCTAGTACTGGGACAGTTCCTGAGTCAGTTCCTGGCACATAGTAGGTGTTTTAGGAATAGTCAAGGAATAAGGGAATGAATTAATGCAAGGATGACAGCCTATACTACTTATTAAAGACTAAAGGAGAGGGAGTTTGTAGGGATTTGGTATGGGATAACAGTACTCACCTCATAGGATTAGGATCCAATGCATCAATGCATGTAAAACCCCTGCAACAGTGCCTGGCACCCAGTGGACGCGATATAAGTAGGAGCTTAAAAAATGGTAGTGGCACAAGCAAATTTGTGAGAAAGGAGGAGTTTTAACCCTCTTAGGAGAATAGAGCTCTTCATTCCTTTGACAAATATTTACTGAGTCTGCAAGAAAGGAAGTGTATGCACAAATGTAAGCATCACACCAAATGGCGTTCCTCATGAGAACAGAACACAGACCCTTCAGAGTTTGCTCCAAGAACAGCCCAGAAGCGATGATTCTCCCCCCAACCCTAGAGCTCTCTCTCCCTGACATCCCAGCCTCCATAGAAACCCCAGGAAGGGTGTGCACTCCTCCATTTTCAAGTGCATCCCTCCGCAGGAGGGCGGTGCACCGGGTGCTGCTTGTGTCTGCAAAGATGAACCACTACAGACCCATCTGGTCATCAGAAAGCTCTTAGGAGTCAAAACGATAAACATCATTGTAAGATATTCTCCAACTTGCCTTTGTCTTCCAGCTAACCCATTTTCTCCAAGTGAGCATGAAAGATTGCAGGCTGACAGGAGAGACAATTATGGAGCCACACTGTCTTAACCACACCTTCACCCTCACTCACCTCCTCGAAGCATCACAGCCTCTCCCAGTCTCCTACCCGCATTCTAGGAATTTAAAATTGCCATAGTCAGAAAAGCATTTTGAAATTTAAACCCATCACTTTCCCTTTTCAGTGGTATTCTTTACCAGATGAGTCAGGAAGGTGTCACTGTGCATGCAGGAGGCATTTACTAGATGCACATTTTAAAAAAGTGCATGAGTGGTACATAGAAGATTGGAAGGAGGAAGAAAGATCCATAAATGGCACCCCGGACCCCACCATATGCACCTCTAATTTCTCATCACACAGGACTGTACAAGCTGCGTTCTGCACAGAGGCACCTGGCAGAAGGAGCCTTTTTGCTCACTGGGGCTATGACTACCCACAAGAGTCCGCCTTTTTCTTATTCACCCAAAGGCACCAAATGAGCTGGCAGGGGCTCCAAGAACACCCTCCTTCACAGACAGAAATGAGCAGAAACTGGACTGGGAGTGAGCAGAACTGAGTATCAGCCTGCATTCTGCCTCTGAGTTAGACAAGACTCTTCTCTGGCCCCAGGCATCCACATCCATAAAATGATGGGTGTGGACGAGACAGTTGTTTTTCACACATTTTATTTTGTAGCTGCACAGCCATGTCCTCTGGTGAAATTCTTCTCAGAAGCCAGCAAGTAAAGCAAATAACCTTGAGGATGTACTGTGGGAGGTGGATGGCGGCCTGCACCCTTGGTCACCACCATGGCGGAGCCACACCCCTCCGCACAGGGTTAAGCACCGCAGTAGTCACTGACTGCCTTTAACATTCTCTTTAGCGCTGTATTTCTGTGATTCTATGAGAACCTGCCAAGGAGGAAAATATCCCCTAGAGATTGTAGAGAGTTGCACACAAATGCAAATAATGAGACCCACAATTCCACTGTATGCCCTGGCCGTTCAACTAAGCGATGCTTTTCAAGTCTTTCTGGCACACCCTCAGCTCCTGCCAGCTGTCACTCTCCCACTTCTCTTCTTTGAAACTTCTAGCTCTTTGCCTCCACCTGTGATCCCATCCAGTTCTCTGCTGTGGCGTACATTCCCCCGATATTGGGAGATTCTTTTTTTCCAAAGATTGGCACCTGAGCTAACAACTCTTGCCAATCTTCTTCTCCCCACTTCTGCTTTTTTCTGATATTGTGAGACTCTTAAAAGAAGTCAGCCCCTCTGTCAATCCCAGCTTCTTCAAGGGCCTATCTGCAAATCTCTTCCTGATTGAATATTCATGGTGACCAACTGAATATTTATTATGCCAAAAAAGCTCCATTGGCCGAGTCTTCTCCCCTATCTACACGCAGTCTTTCTAATGCATGCAGCCTTCCCTAGGCTGTGGCAGATGTCCCTTTCCCCGACCCCCAGTGCTGTCCCTGCCACTCATCTCTCTGCCATGCACTCCTCCCCGATTGCTGTTATCCCAGCCCATCAATCCTTTATGCATGAGCCTGCCTCAAGTCTTCCAGAGGAGCCTTTTCTGAGTTAGACCCCCACCCATACAGACCACAGTTACAACACACGTTAAAAGCCCTCTTGCAGAACAGAAGCTTTCCATGAGCTTCATGAGGCTAATCGCTGCATGGGGCAATCTCAGTTTTCCATTGTCTTCCATAGAGATACTGATGCTTAACAAAAGCAACATCATCAACAAAACAACTAGCATTTATTGAGCACTTACCATGTGTTAAGAATTGTCATATTCTCTACAAGTCTTATCTTTCTTTAGGTCAAACCAGTGAGCACCTCCTGGGCAATAATAGAATTTTCTCAGGCTTCAGTTTCCTCATCTGTAAAAGGGAGAATATATCTGCCTGTCATGTTGTTACATGGATGAAATGATGGAAGGGAATAAGCTTTGCAAAGCTAGTCAGTGGGCACAGATGGTAGTTCTTCCTCCTGTCCCTTCATCACCCCTTCTTCGCTCTCCGTCCTCTGGGTTTGTTGTCAGGGCATAGAGAAGGCTAAATGACCCAAAGAGTGAGCTCTGAGCTCTACCGAAACAGACGCTGAAGGAGGAGCAGTTATTTCTGTGGCCACCCTGTTGAGGGTAGCAGACCTTGTGCTAATGAGGATGGATGGGGCTGTGTGATGGAAAGGATCTCAGAGGAGACTGAACCTCGGATGCAGGCAGTCATGATGGCCAGGACGAGGAGCCCCTCTCCGAACTGTCAGGCTGGACCAGGCCCCCTTGTTTGGTGCTAAAAGCACCTTTGTGTCCTTGTACCAATTCGGCATCCACCAGCCCCAGATGCAATGCCTTTTCCTGAGTCCACCCTCCTCTCCTGAGAAGCAAGATGGCACAACACTGCTCTTAGATTTAGACAGGCTCCATGTGGATCTGCAGACCTACTCCCTGGGTGGTCTTCGATTGGTCGCCCAACCTCTCTGAGCCCTGATATTCCGCTCGACAAATGAGCATAATCCCTGCCCACATCATTGGGTTGTTGTGAGAATTAAATGGAGTCATGGGTTAAAAGACGTTGTGAATACAAGACTCATTCCAAATGCCCCAGCCTTCAGGAAGCCTTCCCTTCCCTTCCTACACAGAATTAATCTGGTACTCCTCTGGACTGCCTCCTGAATATTAATAATGTGCCCCTGTGATAGCATTTCTCACAGCCTACCCTGGATAATAAAGGCAGTGTCTGTTTGACTGCTAGATCGTAATCTCTACAGGGGCAGGCGGGCGGGGTATGGAGCTTATTCATCTTTACCTTCACCAGCATCTGCAGCACAATGCCTGGCACGTGGAGGATGCTCAGTAAGTGTTTAATGAATGAAAGAATGAAGGCCCCTTTCTGCCTGGACTCAGGCTGCATGTTATCTTTTATCTGCTATTCAGTATCTGGAGGTAGGAGAAGGAAATTTCTGTTAAGGTCCCCACTCCCCTACCTAGGGGACAGGCTCCAGTTGAGTGAGCTGGTGATATAAGTGAGAAATAATGGGAACAAAAGAGAGTCTGGCTATGAAACACAGAGCCCAGCTCCTTCCCCCCATTATTTTTCTGCGTTCAGCCACAGAACAGTTGAAGAAAACTAGATGGAGTCTTTGAAGCAATTGCTTCTTGTGTCTGAAATTGCTTCCTTATCTTCTGGGCAATTCCCTGAAATGGCTGCAGAGAGCCCCAGCTGTTTAATATCCAGCCCGCTGATAGGAGTGATTGCTCATCAAACCCCAGAACCCAAACGAGTTCAAGAGGGACCATGGACAGCCTTGGCCATAGAGGTCTCAGACAAATGGCTGCCGAGTGGATTGGCCAACATTAAGCAACAAACATGATTAAAGGCCAGAAAATAGGACCTGTGAGGAAAGGATGAAGCCATCTGTTTGATTTATTGTGGAGGAGAACAAATAACAATGTACAAGTCTGTGGACATTTTCTACAAGAAGGATGGCAATGCCCAGCTCAATGAGGCCAGAAGAGGAAGAGAAGGGCATGAACCACCACATGAGGGATTTTGTCCAGACGTAGTAAGGAAGAACTTTCCCACTGCCTGGCAATCAGCACAGCCAGGCGCCAGTACGGTCTCCCAGAAGCAGCTTTATAATCTGATTTTCTTGGTAAAAATGATGGACCCAAGTCTAGCAGAGAAACCCAACAATTTTTGCATCTGGGACTGAGAGGAAAGAGAGTGATGAGCTTTTATACTTCTCCCTCTGAGCAGATCCAGGGCTCTTGGGTAAAGGGGCCAGAGAGATCCTCAGATATCTAGTCTTTGACTAAGCAAAGTGCACATCCCTTGACATGGGTCCTGCCACTTGCCCCGGGGCATGGGTGAGCCTGCAGAGAGGTGGCAAGTCTCTGACTGTCTCTTAATCTGCTATTGGCTGATAGAAAGCCATAATCAATGGATTGTGACTGGAATAAGAAGTGTGTTTGCAAAATAGAGGGATTTTTTTCAGGATAGTTTTATCAGTTAATTCATGAATGAGTATCTCATGGTTTCTGTCTTCATCAGGAAGTGCCAGTATATCCAAACAGTGTATGTTGAATCTATTGAAAATAAAAATATTTGTATAGATGTAAAAATCATCTTTTGATATACAGTTCAAAAGAAAACACTTGTTTTAATATTTACTTAGGATGTGTTTCATAGTAAAGTATCGTAAGACACATAGACATGGAAATGACTGTTATGGAAGAAGAAGATTTTATGCTCACAGATCCCTCAAATTGGAAGGCATGGCATGCCATGAAGGGCCACCAGAGGAAGCATCAGGGTCAGTCAGGAGGCAGAGGAATCGAGGGGAAAAGATGGTTAAGAGTCTTTATTGTGGTTTCTGCAGGAAAGAAAAGGCAGGGTAGGGTAAGTAGGCTGAGGATTGTGTGGTTTGAATAATTTTAGTGGGCTTTGAAGCATCAGGGCTGACTCTAGTTGCCTGGTACCTAGCCCTGGAGTGATTAAGGCAGGTGGGTAGTGGTCCAGAGTGTAAGAGACCCTTGGAGGAGATGGGGGGAGGGAAGACGTGGCTCTGGATTGGTTAGTTTGCATATGAAAGGCTTGCTCACAGGTAAGTCATTCAGTATCTTTCAGAATTAGCTAACCTGGGAAGGGGGAGTACCTCCCCCAGTCAGCAAGGCCCCAGATGCCAGTTCATCAAGAATACAGAAAATAAGAAAATATACTTAATACAGCTCTACTTCCAAAAGTGTAAATAGGGACACAATTTACAGTTTTGTTGATGTTGGTGGACAACTAAAAATTAATGAACCCTAGAGAGATGCAAAAATATTCAGGCAAATCTATACACTGGGGGATGAGAGGTGGGGGGGACCAGCAAGTTAAGAGAAAGAAGGCAAAGGGACAGAGAAGAAAGACTAAACCTTGCCCATTCCTCCCATCCCCTCCTTCTTTCTGCTCCCTCCTCGGTGGAGAGGGCAAGGCCAGTGTGAATCTATGATCTATAAGGCATGCCCTGGAGGCTGAATGGCTTATCCAGTTAGGAGGCATGCTAAGGATGCCACCAGTAAGGGTTTCTCCCCAGTGGGCCAAGAGATCTGTCTGTGTTGCAAGATCACAGATTCCAATCTTAACACAGCTGTCTATTAAGTATTTGTAGCCACTGGGAACAATGGATCAGGCAACCGCTGACCCTCCCCCCAGCCCCCACCCAGGATGGAGTGCTGTGCAGCTGCCACTGGGTGATATTATTAGCAGGATCTACTCTATAGCCACCACCACCATCAATGCCAACGGTAGACAACCCTCCATGAGAGCTTCCCTTTACTTCCCTCCTTCTAGAGATAATAAATATGGCTGACAGTGTTTTGTCAACTACAACACCATATGTAATTTTAAAAGGCAGCTCATTTATTTGACAGTGAATTTCTTGAATAACTACCGGAGCTAGGCATTGTGCTAGGTGCTGGGGAAACAGCAATGAACATGAGAAACACAGGTCATACCCTTGTTTAGTAGAGGGAGATAGATGATAAGTACACAAAATAATTAGTTTACTTAATTGCACATTGTGTAAATGCAGCGACAGAAATAAACAGGGATGTGTGGAGGAGAATAATAAGGTGGGCCTATTTGGAGAGATCAGGTTTGGCCTGTCCGAGGGGAAGTCATTTAAACCGAGATCTCAGGAAGCTGAGCGGAAGGCAGCCTGTGGCAAGGCAGAGAAACTTCTCTCTGCACAGTTGGAATGAATGAGTGCACAAAAGCCCCAAGGAGGGAAGAACATGACTTGTTCTAGGAACTGAGCTCCAAGGAACATGAGGGAATTCGGACTTTCTTCCAAGGGCAGTGGGAGGGTTTGAAGCAGGGGCATGACGTGATTGAAATAATGTTTTCTAAAAGATCAGTTTGGCAGCTCTATGGAGACTGAACTTCAGGAGGCAAGCCGGGGAGCAGACCAATCAGCTAAGAGGCAGTTGAATGGTGAAGTCGAGAGAGAGAGGAAGGTGCCTCGGGCAGCAGGTGGATGTGGGGTGTACAGAACCAGCAGTTGAGTAGGACATGGAAGAGGGTGAGGAGAAGAATCCAGGCTAACCTGCAGGCTTCTGGCTTTGGACCCTGGGTGGTGGTGCTGTGTCTGAGATGGAGAAGACTGGGAAAGAAGACGCTGGGGGTAAATGTTCAATATTACCATTAGACCCATCATAATCATCATTATTAATAATGCTTGGCCCCAACTCAGGTCTCAGGAAGGATGCTGTTGTATCCACACCTGGTTTGGCCTTAATGAATCACCTTCTCCAGCTTGGCATCATTGTTCTCATTCTTGACCCAAGAGTAGAGTTTCTCAGCCACAGCACCATTGACATTTTGGGGAGGGATAATTCTTTGTTGGAGGGCTGTCCTGTGCATTGTAGGATGGTTAGCAGCATCCCTGGACTCCACCCCCTGGAAGCCAGTAGCATCCTCTTCCCCTGTTAGGACAATCATAAATGTCTCCAGACATTACAAATGTCCTCTAGGGGACAAAATGGCTTCTACTTGAGAGCCGCTCCTCTAGAAGGATAGGTCTAGAGCACAGGAACTGAGAAGAGTGTGTTACAGTTCGTCTAGGAAGGACAGACTACCTGCTAGTAGCATGGAGAGTCCTCTGATCTGCCTGTTTCTTGAATAGGGACATGTCCTGCAGCTTCTGGGCAAATCACAGTCTGGAGCTGGGAGAAGGCCTCACTCAGCAGCAAAAACATGCACCAAAATAAATGCAAAGCACCCATGCCAGGCGCTGCCCCATGATTTTCTCACTTAATCTCCACAACCATTCATTCTATATATAAGAAAGCAGTGGCTCATAGAGGTTCAGTGGCATGCCTATGATGATGAGGTCATTAAGTGGTGGAGGCAGGGTTTGAACTCAGCTTTTGATGCCAGACCCTGTACTCTTCCCTTGTTATCACAGTTGCCTTTACTGGGGACTGTGACACAACTTGAAATATCATCTATGTCTGAGGATACACAGCTTCAGAGAGGAGAAAAGGCAGGAGCTGTGATCCCTTCTCATGCCACCAGTTGCACTCCTGTTCTTCCAATTTGATCCTCAGGCCCAGGATCAAATTGTGGGGACTCTTTGATGAGGGTGCTTTGTCATCCCTGGGAGACCTTACTGGAGAGAGTCTCTGGCTGCTGCACCTCACTACCCAGCACCACCTCACCACCATCACCAGGATCCCCCCTAGCAGCCTAGCCATTTCTCTCTGCTTGGGTCCCCCACAAAAGCAGTCATGCCGTTATCAAAAGACAGCAACCTTCCATCTGAACAAAGCAGACTTTCTTCAGACTTATTAAAGCCTGGGTCTCTTCCTAATAAGATCAAAAGCAGGCATAATCCCCATTCCCCAGGTGGCCTCACCTTGGTGCAAGATTCCCCAGCGTACCCTCCTTCCCAGATCCAGGCTGCCACCTCACCGGGGCATTCCAGGCCCAAGTCTCAGAGGTTCCATGTGGAGGCTCCCAGGCTCAGTCCCCCAAGGGATGTGATGGGCATTGGCTTCCTCGATTTCATAACTGTGATTTTCAGCCGATCCAGCCCAAGAACCACATCACAGTGACATGGGGCTAGTCTGTAAGTTCCTTGAGAATTGTCTGATACCATTTAGTATTCTTCATAGCTCCTAACAAATTCCCTCGCATGCATCCCATAAATGTTTGCTCAATTGATGGATAGATGGAAAGATAGAAGGATGGATGAGGGCATGGGTACGTGAATGGATGGATGGATAGATAGATGGAAAGTTGAATGAATGAATGGAAGGAAGGAAGGAAGGAAGGAGAGGAGGAAGGAAAGAAGAAAGGAGGAAAGAAAGGGTGAAGAGAAGTGGAGTACAAATTCAGATGTTGTTCTTATGAAGCTGACCATCACCACGAATCATCGCTTCACATACCCATGATTTTAAACTCTGCTTTATGAAAAACCTAAATATAGAACACAGAATTATTCCCTTTTTCAAGGGATTGTTCAGGAGCAGTGTACCAGTCAAAATTAGCCTATGCAGCCACCAGACCGCAAATGGAATACTGGCTTCACCACGTGCTGACGTGGGATCTCCAGCAAGTCTTTTAACCTCTATGAGCCTGTTCCCTTGTCCGCAAAGTGGAGATAATAATGGTATCTACTTCAAAAGGGGATTGAATCAACGAGATAGTGTTTGTAAAGCTCTTGACACAGGGCTTGGCATACAGCAAGCACTCAACAAACAATAGCTGTTATTATGCTTCACTTTACCAAATGACTTCTTTAAATAGTGAAAACCCTTTATGAATCTTTTAAAAGGTTTTATTTTAAAAAACAATACAGACGAACAAAAAGAAAATGAAAGCTGCCTCAAATCCCACCATTTATAATGATTAAAGAAAGAAGTCGAAATTACAGCCTCTTTTCCTCCAATCCCACCCTCCATTACTTAGCCTTTAACAGAATCTTTTCTAAGATTTTGTTAGGCTTTATTGCGTATCTGTGTGCCTATATACACATACATCTTTTTATATGAAAGTGAAATTATGCCATCCATATTGGTCCGGAACTTATTTCACTTGACAGTATGTCATGGAGCACGTTCCTGGTCAGCTCATTCAGATCTATTGTGTTCTTGTTTTAATAGCTACATAGTACCTCGTGGAATAAATGTGCCATCCTTTATTTAGCCAGCCCCCTACTGATGGACATTTAGGTTGTACTCCTCATGCGTCTCAAGTGTAATGTGATGTGAAAAGCTTTTGCTTATACATATTGTAAACACATGCCAGGCACCTATAAGGCATTGGGGAAAGAGCTATTGAATTCAAGGTCGTGCAGAGGGCTTTGTTTAAATTTACAGTACACAAGAAGCCATACAATCAATAGATTTTGTGCTTCGTTTTCCTCCTGTTTGGATGAACTATAATTGTTAACATCATAATTAGCCCCGTTCCCCTGCCCACCCGGGCCCTAGCCCTATCACTCAAAGGAGAACATATTTCTCATAGATTTGGGGACCAGGGAGCAGGGGATCCATTTTCCATCCTGCCTGAGTGATTTTCAAGTCTCATCACCTCAGGAAAGGTGTGGAACAAGGCAAAACTGCACCTCTGCCTAGTAACAGCTCCCCTCTGCACGCGGGCCCCGATCACAAGCTCACTTCCCTGACATCAATGTGCCGTTCCCTGGAGAAGGGAGCCAGGAAAGCTCAGACTCCCATCATGGGGGAAGGACCCGTCATGCCCCCAGGCAAAGAAAAAAGCCAAAAAAGAAACCCCCTTTTATAAGCACCAGGTGCAGGCTGTTTGTCAAAGGAATCAAAGCCACCCCTTGATAATGTCTCCACTTTCCTCCCAGACTCTCGGCTGCTCCCCATCACTTACCCAAAGCTAAACTCCTCAGATCAGCACTCAAAGCCTTCAACGCTTGGCCTCTACCAACTGTTCCAGCTTCCTCTCCCACAGCATCTGGCCCAACGATCCTCTCCCCGTCTTCCCACCACACCATGTCCTTTCCTGCTTCCCGCGTTGCTTTCTCTGCTCCCTCTGCCTTCCCATCTCCAGCTGACTGACTCCTACAAGGCATTTGGGGCTTAGTACAGAGGCCACCTCCCCAGGAAGCCTGGGTATAACAATCGTATCTGTCTCTTAAATTATTTTCACATTCATGATGCCTCCCACATTCAACTTTGCATTGCTGCTGTTTGCATATATATGGCTTATGTCCTACATTAGATTATCAGGTCCCGGAGGACGGGCGTCAGGCCACATAAAGCATTGCTTACTATCTACTGTCCCCTGTACATAATAAGCACTTAATGCATATTTTAAAACGTTGTGCTAAGTTAAGAACATGACTTACAGCCACACTGTTAATTTTTCGAGGACCGTTTTCTGGTTTCCCCAAATCAGTATCTAGTTGCCAGGCTGTCTGCATTGTGTAGGGGAGGGAAGAGCAGGTGGGCCTCCAGAAACACACCGCTCCGTCTTCTCAGCCTCCGGGAAGGGTGCACCAGTGCAGGTGTGGGGGAAGAGTGCGTGTGGTCCTCAGCTAAAGGGAGGGAGGGGGCATTTGGGAGAGCCAGGAGGTTGACATCTGGGAGGGAACGCAGGATCCCATCACCTAGACCAGGTAAGCTGTTTCCTCAGCTTCCTCTGTCGAGCTGTCCTAGTCGCCTGCCCCCAGGAGAACTGAAGGCTTCTCTAGAATGCTGGACTCGTGCTGCATGCTTCCTATCCCAGCCCACCTCTGTCTGATCCCACCCTGCCCACCTACTCCCGCCCTGCCCTGGTTCCCCCCTCCTCTGCTCCCCCACAGTCACCCCAAGAGCCAGTGTGCTCTCCCTTCTCTGCCTGAGTCCTGTGCTTCGCGGAGGAACCCCAGGGGTGGCACTGCTCCCAGGCTGCGCTTCCCACTGGGTCACCTTACCGTGCCGTTCAGAAGGACAGCCTCACGTTGCTGCAGTTCACACAGCTGCACGTGTGCCAGGAGCCCTCGCAAAGGCAGCCTCCATGCCTTTCTCCACGGCGTGGGAAGAAGCGCCCTTTGAGAAGGAAGAGCTTATAAACAGTCATGTAGCTTTGGTTGCTCTCAACTCAACTCTGCTAATAGCAGAAATATTCCCTCCACCACGGCCCCAAACCCAGTGCTAAAAACTCAAGCTGAAGAAGGTTCTCGTGAAACCGAGTCCTGGGGAAGCCACTGCGGGTGGAGGGGAGCAGCAGTGCGCCCTCTCATACTGCACAGCCTGTGTTCACACAGCCCACAGGCCTGGGCTCTGAGCTGGGCTCCAGGGTTCGAGACCTCAGCACACAGGGCTGCTAGCTTGGGGCCTGCCCCCAGTGGCTGCACAATCGTGCTTGCCAAACATAGGAATTTATGAATGCAAACATCCAGAGGACAAAAGAACACATCTGCCATCAATGCTGATGTAGAGCCTGAAAGTGCTGAGAATCCACCAGACAGACAGGTCCTAATCTGAGGGGGCTGGTCAGGGAAAGAACACAGGATGCTAAATAGGCCACAAAGGATAAAGGAGCTTGAGGAAGGGGAAAACATTCCTGAAGGAGGGAAGCAGCCTCCGCTCCGAGGTGCCCTCTGGGTTGCAGGCAGCTCTGGACTATAAAGGCCAATTATGACAGTGGGGAACACAACACCCACAGCCCCAGACCCACCACCTCTGAAGTGACCCTCTCAGATACAGACACGCCCAGCCCAAAGTCCTCAGGGGTCTCTCACATGGAGGAGAGGGAGCTGGATGGCCCCGTAGTCATAGATAATGGCACTCCAGACTGGCTCACTCAGCTATGCGTTTCAGCAGAACGTCACCTTCAGGTGAGAGGGCAGAGAATCCTGTGCTGGGGCCCAGTCCTTGACAAGGGCATTTCTGGAGCAAAGGGCACATGCTTGGAAATGAGCAGCCTGAGGTTTTGGTTCCACTTCTAGCTCTTTGTGCTTGGACGAGTCATTATCTGGACCTCAGCTCCTTGTCTATGACATGGCAAGACTGGTTGTAGGTGCCGCCTGCTCTATTTCAAGACCTGCCTTTCTGCCTAACAGTCTGATCATCAGACCTGCCAATCAGTCCTTTCATAACTGGGATCTTGGTGGAGAATGGCTGATGGCGAGGATAGGAGTTGTGTGTTGTGAAGGACCGTTTCCCTCTCCCCAGCCCTCTGTGCTAGCTTTTTCACGGGTGTCTAGCGTGTAGAGCCAGCCCTGGTGGTCTAGTGGTTAAGACTTGGTGCTCTCACCACCGCAGCCCAGGTTCATTTCCCGGTCGGGGAAACATACCACCGTCTGTCGGGTGTCATATTGTGGCAGCTGCATGTTGCTGTGATGCTGAAAGCTGGGCCACTGGTATTACAAATTCCAGCAGAGTCACTCGTGGTGGACAAGTTCAGTGGAGCTTCCAGACTAAGGCAGACTGGGAAGAAGGACCGCCTGGCCGCTCACTTCCAAAAAAACTGGCCATGAAAACCCTGTGAATAGCAGTGGAGCACTGTCTGATTTAGTGCTGGAAGGTGAGAGGATGGCGCCAAAAGACTGGACAGGGTCTGCTCTGCTGTGCACAGGGTCACTAGGAGTCTGAATTGACTTGATGGCACTAACAATAACCAGTTCTTAGAATTGAGATAGGGCAAAGGAAGCCACACTGAACTACCTATTACTGAACCAGGCGGTCAGAACTCACTAGCCCCACCCATATGTTCATCAGAACCCTGCTGTCTGTCTCCCTTCTCTCAAGGGTTAGCTTTTTCCTGGCTCTCTGTGGAAAAGTAAGGTATTAGTTTCCTATTGCTGCTGTAACAAATTACCACAAACCTAGTCCCTAAAACAACACAAATTTCTTATCTTACAGTTCCTGAGCTCAGAAGTCCACAATAGGTCTCACTGGGCTGAAATCAAGGGGTCAGGAGGACTGTGTTCCTTTCGGAGGCTCTAGGGGGAATCCATTTCCTTGCCTTTTCCAATTTCTACAGGCCACTTGCATTCCTTGGCTCCTGACCACACAACTCCAAGCTCTGTTTTCACTGTCATCACATTCCCTTCTCTGACTCTGACCTTCCTGCCTCCCTCTTATAAGGACCCTTGATTACATCGGCCCCACCCAGATAATCCAGGATCATCTCTGGCTCAGGATCCTTAACTTAATCACATTTGCAAAGTCTCTTTTGCCCGGCAAGGTGACATATTCACAGGTTTCGGGGACAACCTTAGGGGGCCATGATTCAGCCTGCCACCGGCGTGTTTGCCCCTGTCCATTCCTGAGTTACTCTAAGGTTTACACCTCCACGTGGCTATCCATAATTGGTCTTCACTCCTCAGTCACAGATGTTTCTCTAGACCACCCACCCCAGACATCACCCATCCTCCTTTTCTGTTCATCCTCCAAAGCCCCCCTTACACAAGGCTTTGTAAGCACTTTTTCTGAAAATTTGGAGTTAGAAGGGTAAAAGAAAAGCAGAGAGCAGGAAACAGTTTCTAAATGGATATCAGATCCTAGACATCATTGATCCTAGACATGTATTGACCACTGCCCTCCACAGGGACTTTCTCATGGCCCATGTGTCCCCTGAGTCGGCCTCCTGGAACCTGGCTTGTCTTTCCTCCTTTCTGCTTGCTTAGGACTCTTTTATGCAGATTAGGCTATTCACCCCCCATCCCGCCTTCCAGGCCTACTTTTTGTAGCACCCAAATGTCACTGAACGCCTGCTAAACAAAGGAGCATGTCTCTGGGTCTTCCCACTCAGCAGCCACAAGGAAACACCAGAAGCTTTGAGATTACAGATTTTTCCTTAACGTGGAACATCCCTCTCACTAGTTTAGGTGACCTTATGGGGAACGTTGCCAAGATGTATTTGCAAGCCGTTCAGAGTTAATTCCTATGGGTATGAAGATTTACCTCCTTCCTAATTATTGATCCATTCATTGAGTCCTTATTGAGCATCTGCTGTGTCCAGGTGCTGCTCTTGGCCTTAGGGTTATAATGATGAACAAGCGAAAGATGGTCTCTGCCCTCAGAAAGTTTAAGGACCAGCTGGGTGTGTGTGCACGCACACACACACACACACACACTGGTTCCCACCTGGGAGATAATTAAGGTTTAACTTCAAGTAGAGACCATCCCTCCCCCAGTTTATGGATTTTAAAGATCACCTCTAGGGCTGGCCCTGTGGCCTAGTAGTTAAGTTCGGCAGCCCGGGTTCAGTTGCCATGCACAGACCTACACCACTCATCCATGGTCATGTTGTGGTGGCAACCCACGTACAAAATAGAGGAAGATTTGCACAGATGTTAGCTCAGGGTGAATCTTCCTCAGCAGAAAAAAAAAGGTCACCTCTAATTTTTGTCACCTTGACCATATTATGACAACGGTCCCAAAGGACTTTTCAGTGTCCTCTGTTACTAGATGGCAAAAAGGCATGGCAGATGACTTTGTCCCTGCATAAAAGAAGAAAAGCTAGAAGGCGGTGGGGCAGGAGAGGAACCATCCCCACGGTGGTCACAGCCAAGGGTAGTGCCACTCAGAGCCTCGGAGCTTAGGCGGCACCCGCCCTTGTCAGGGCTTTCCACAGGGAGGGCTTTGCTCTTTGTCTTAAGGGGGTCTTGCTGCTTTGGGCGAGGGGACTATGTGATGGACTGGAGGGCCTCCTCTTGCAGCTCTGTTGGTGTGAGAGGAAAACACTCTCCGTGTTCCAAGATCTTAGATCGGTGAAATAGATGCAGGGAAGTGCCGGAAGGCAGCGCTGGCTCTGGGTCAGCCTCCGGTCAGAGGCTGGAGGGCCAAGCGTGTCCTTTCCCTTCAGACCTTCCCACGTGTGCAGCAGACATCCTTGTTCCCGTCAGACACAGCTCCTAAAACCTTGAAAGCTTTCAAAATCTCCTTGATGTTAGCGGTTGGTTTATTCTTTTCCCCAAAAGCTTATGGAAGCATAAGATTTTAAAGCTGGAAGGGACCTCGGAGAACAAAAGCATTGTTTTATTTATATTTTTAATTTTCCCGGTTCTACAACTTAGGGGCGATGAGTTTATGCACTCCGATTTCCTCTTCCCTCTGCGCTGTTCCATTCACTGCCCACTCGCTGCCCTTTCCTCCTGCTCCCGCCCCCTCCCCAGGCCAGCTCTCTCCTTGAACCCGTTCTTTGATGTCCCCTGCTTTCCTGAAACACCAGCCACATGGCTGCCACACCTTCTCTCTGCCCGTGCTTAGAGTGCAGAGGAGAGTCCACTGGCTTTGGTGTCTTAACAGGGTTGCAGAGGGACAGGCTGCACAGACAGGACCCAGATTTCATAAGCCAGGAACAGAATCATCCAGGGGCATCCTGCAGGAAGGCGGGTTACTGTGCCTGACTCTCTTAGCACAGTGAGAACTCAGGAGGGCTGTAGGCTAGTTCTCCTCTGAACTCTAACCTTAGGAACACTGTTCCCTAGGGTTATTCCCAGAGGAATAACGGGACAGCACCCAGATTTGTCAGCACACAGGCCAGTCCAAGTCTGATTCTCAAAAGAGTAAGCTGCAGGGTGAAGCCATGAGCTGCAGCCACAAACTACCCAACCCCTCCCTCCCCGAGGCCCCTGTCTTGAATGCAGGTCAGTGGCATGGGAAGGGGTCAGGGGAACCCTTGTGCCCACCGTGAAGGACCTCACTTTTCTCTCCATGGGCCCACAGGGGTCAGAACCTGCACGGGCTGTGCAGCCCTGGGATCCCGTCCTGAACTTTAGGACTCAGCACGTGTTTGACTGTGGGGAGCCAACCCTCTCAGAGTTGGGGGCTAAGGGGGAGCCGCTGCTGGGATATCTATCGCTCCCTCCACCCAGTCTTGCTTCACCTTTTGTTAGTGCTGTTGAGCCGATTCCGACTCCTAGTGATCCTGTGCACAGCAGAGTGGAACCCTGCCCGATCTTTTTGCACCATCGTCTCACCTTCCAGTGCTCTATCAGACAATGCTCTGCTGCTCTTCACAGGGTGTTCATGGCCAGTTTTTACAGAAGTGGGTGGCCACATCCTTCTTCCTAGTCTGTCTTAGTCTAGAAGCTCCACTGAAACCTGTCCCCCATGAGGGACCCTGCTTGTACTTGCAACATGCAGCCACCACAGTATGACAACCGACAGACGGTGGTGTGGTTCCCAGAGCAGGAAATGAATCTGGGCTACAGTGGTGAGAGCACCCAATCTTAACCACTAGACCAGCAGCGCTGGTGAAGTGGTCCGCCTTTATCAGGCCAGTATTTCCTTCCTTTCCAAACCCACCTGAGAGGGAAAGGCTGTTCCTGAAGAGGCCCCAAGCAGCACTGGGTCCTGACTGAGATTTGTGGCTTCCACCATTTCCTCTGAAGATAAGTCTTTGTGCCCTGGTGCCCTCCCAAGGACAGAAGAAAGCCTCTGGGACAAGCAGAATGAGCCCCCTGTGGTCGGCAGAATAATGGTCCCAAAGATGTCCACATCCTAATCATTGAAACCTGTACATGTGCTACATTCACGGCAATGGGGAGTGGAAGATAATCCTGGATTATCCAGGCTGGTTTAATGGAATCACAAGGGTCCTTATAATAAGGAGGCAGGAGGGGGCATCTAAGAGAGAGAGTTTGAAAGGTGCTACACTGCTGATGCTGAAGGCGGAGGATGGGGCCACAAGCCAAGAACGCAGGCAGCTTCTAGGGCAAGAGAACAGATTCTCCTCTGGAGCCTCCGGAAGGAACGCAGCCCTGTAGCACCTTTCTTTTAGCCCAGTGGGACCCATTTCAGACTTCTGACCTCTGGAACTGTAAGATAATAAGTTTATGTGGTTTTGAGCTAGTGGGTTTGCTGTAACTTGTCACAGCAGCAGTTGCAAACTACTATGGCCCCTGAGGAGGAGGAAAAGAGAGCAGGCATTGAGGGTGTGCTGCCCTCTGGTGGGGAGGCAGCCTGGACCACACGGGCCTCCCTCAGAATGTCCGCCATGTTGGATCCCTTGATGCAGTGCTCTGGTTCCTCCTCCTCCCTCCTTCTTCCCACTGCCCAGCAGAGTGGCTGCTCTAGACTGAATGGCACGGCGAGCAGGCAGTTTTCTCTTCTCGGGGCTCCTGTCTGGACTCAGCAGACCTTCTGCTCTGATTTTCCTCCTCATGGGACCATCAAGGTGGCAACTCTGAGCAGAGCCTCTGTTCACACAGCCAAGCCCCCTCAGAGCACCTCTGCTGCTTTCTGCTCGGAGTTTCTCGGTTTCCAATGGCGGGTTATGAGCCCACAGTGAGAAGGAGGTCAGGGGCCTCTCTGGGGAGGCCTCCTTACAGGGCTCAGTCCCCGCAGGCATGTGCAGAAAACTGCTGATGCTCTTCCCCCTTCTCTTATTAGGAAGACTGTCCCCCTCAAAGAGACCCAAAGGTCACCCCAAGCCCCCCTCAATTTGGATTCTCTTCTGCAAGGACTGTGACACACGCTCCTTGGGACCCGCTGGGATCCAGATGAGCGGGCATCCCCTTCTCAGTCTCCACCAAAAGCAAGTGAAACAAGATTAAAGTGAATAACAAGGCAGACACGAGGCAGACAGTGATTCAATTCAGTAAGCATTAAAGTCATAACTCGGCATCGGAGGAATGTGTGGTGGTAGGACAGAGGACAGTCATCTGTTTTGCCCTGAAAAATGTGCAATGTCATCTCGTGCCACTTTCTTCTGGCAGGAAGCAAATGGTGCACCTGAAGTGGGTTCTTGAAGAAAAGTTGGGCATAGTTAGGGAAACTCACAAGGGGCTAACAATGGTGGAGAGTGGCTATAATCCCTGACCTAATGGGGCAAAGGGAGGGGTGGGGGCCAGACGCAGAGAAGGTGTGGAAAGGCCACATACAGGAGCTGGAGCCAATCTGCAGTGATCCACGTGGGCACTGCTGGGCAAATGTATACCCTAACTGACTTCCCTGTCCACCTACCCTCCTGCTGGGGATCCCCACTGACCGAGCCTGGCTGGAAACCAGAGGATCAAGGAATCTGGGGTGGATAAGAGTAGAGAAGGTGAGAGTGGATTTGGAGAGCTAACAGAAGACACTGGCACACTTACTCCAAAGTGTTGGGCTCCCTTCTGATCTCCAACACGCCAGCTCTCTCACCTCTCCTGTCTCAGCTCCAACGTCATCTCCTCAGAGGAAGCCTTCACTGACCTCTGGATCTAAAGTAACAGCACTTGACCTTTATGATATCTTCTGCAGCTTCTACCACAGTCTGTAATCCACTTGTTGGGTGGTTGTTTACTCCTTTGCCATATGTCTCTAGACTGGGACTGGTGAGTCTGTTTGACCCACTGGAATGAAAGCCTGGTGCAGGGACCTTGTTTTTCTTTTTCTGGATCATATCCCCTGCGACTATCACTATGCCTGGCATATATTCTCAAACACTTGTTGAATGGATCAATAAACTAATATTTATTGAATGAATGAATGAATGAAAAGGAAATCTAAAGACTGAGTAGAAGTTATCCAAGTGACATACTGCCCCACCAGACAGCCGCCAGAAAATGGCCAGGTTCACCCCAAAGTCAGGGGCCCCTGTCTACCAGGCTTTCTCCTGACTCTCTGGAGCGCTGCCGCCATGGCAGTTTTGCTTCAGTGTGCTCCCCGCATGGGTTCCAAGAAGGGGCCGGACTCCCACATTGTTACCTACAAGACAAAAAAAGCTGAGCCTTGGCTGGAAAGAAGTCAGAGTGATCACAGTCACTTGCTGGAATTGTAGACAGTTGTGTGTAACTTACACTACCTTAGGATCTTGAGTGGGGTACAGCATCCGGGATAGAACAGAAAGGGTTCCCAAGGAGAATCTGATGGTACTACATCTGGGGCCATTCCAAACTGAGATGGCCATCTCATTTAAAGATAAGTCAGTTGGTGGGGGTGAGGTATATTAAAAATATGGAGTATATAAAAAGATAAACATAGCATTCAAGAATTAGAGATAAAAAATGATTTAAAAGTATTTAGAAACATATGTAAATATTAAATGGCATTTATTTTAAGTGAAATAGAAGAGACCGTAAACTTAATAAAATATGAGATAAAAGAGGAGGTAATAAGATGACAGACTGAAGATGCTTTTAAAGGCATGATAGGTTAAGGAAAGAAACAAGGGAAGCAAATAATGCCATTGGAAATGACAGGGAGCAAAATAGATTCCATAAAAATACCAACAGAGTCGTGAAGGACAAGCTAGAGATGCTCTCCAGATGCTGAAGCAAAAAGGACTAGGAGATGGAAGTGGCCAGAAAAAAGACCCTTGGGTTTGAGCTCAGAGAGTAAAAACCAACATACTGATAAAGGGAGTCCTTGAAGAAGTGCAAGGGGATTCATTTTTTAAAAAGGAATCGAATCAATATAAAGGACAAAATAGGACGGAGTAGAGGAAAACTTTCCTGAATTTAGAAAGACTTGAATGAGTAGATGGAAAGGGCTCCGCATGCATAATTATTTGAAAGTAACCAACACATAGACATATATTGATGATTTGTTTTTAATTACAAGGATAAAGAATTCGACAAATGTCCAGGCGGGGAATTGAAAAAGAAAAAAAAGCTCTCTACAAAGGAACGCAAGTTAGATTTGCCGCAGAGATTTCCATAACATAAGATGATGTAAGTTCCAGAAAGCAGCTAAAAAGCTAAAAAAATTAAAAAAAAAAAAAAAGGGAGCGAGATGGAGAGAGAGCAGCAGCTACACAGGGGAGGGAAAGGTTCTGAATCAAGAACAAGAACACACCAGCCAACCAAGGTGTTGTTTACTTTTAAGACAATACAAAGGCTTTCTCAGATATGTAAAAATTCCAAAAATATACCATCATGCAGTTTCCTCCTAAAAAGAAAGTACACTAAGATGTATACCTGACAGCCAAACGATGAGTCGGGGAGCTCTCAAGAGCAGACCGTGGCGTCAGTGGTGGCCATGGAAACTCCTTAGATGCACAGTTCTAAAGAGTTATTGTCAACGCAGTTACAAGCCAATGCAAATATCATGATTCTTGAAGGCGAAAAGAAAAGGACATTGTAAGGATAATCATTTATCAATGTTAAATAGGGCCAAAAATTGATACCATGACAGGTAAATCTGGGAAGAATAGAGAAGATAGAAGTATGAGATAACAGTTTCCTCTTATATGTATATCAGTCATTAGGTATAGTTTCATTGTTGATTTTGATAACATAAAAAATACATATTTGACTAAAAATAACCTTATAGGGGGAAAACTAAACAAAACATGATCCCCTAAAGCTAATGATATGAAATTAACAATCAAGGAAACATAAAAAGCAAAAAAACAAAATAATAATAATAATGCAGAAATAAGCACAAACAAATCAGGTGTGAGAGAAAGATAAATGGATTCGACTCCTGTGTTAAAATACAGACTTTCAATGGTGCACGAAATAAAGCTTAGCTTTATATTACCTACAAGAAACATACCTACAGCATAATTACTCCAAAAGTTTAAAAGTTAAGAGCTGGACAGAAAAATACCAGGTGATGCAAAAAAATAAAAAATAAAGTGATAAATCATTTATAGGACAGTCATTTTTTTACCAACGAAGTACATAATCCATAATGAACATCTAGCTGACCCACCTCTCCATGCACATAATATTACATCAAAATATATAAAGCCCAAGGACTGGCCCGGTAGTGTAGTTCCACCACCCATTCCACTTTGGTGGCCCTGGGTTCCTGGGTTCGGATCCCAGGCGCAGACCTACTCATCACTCATCAAGCCCTGCTGTGATGGCATCCCACATACAAAATAGAGGAAGTTTGGCACAGATGTTAGCTCAGCGATAATCTTCCTCAAGCAAAAAGAGGAAGATTGGCAACAGATGTTAGCTCACCGACAATCTTCCTCACCAAAAAGAAAATATCTATATATGTATTTTTATATATATATGTAAAACCCAAATAGAATTGAAAAAAATTTTTGACAAATAATAAAGGGGAGCATTTCTTGAGAAATTCAGAATTCAAAGAATAAATAAGGCCATAATCATCTGCATAAAGATTCAATAATTAAATATTTATATCACTAACCTACAAAGAAGTTAAAATGTTTTTTTTTCTGGTGACCTTGGGACATTTACAAAATTTGACCATATATTGGGCTGTAAAGAAAATGTCAGTGAACTGATTGAGCAAAAATGAATGAAAACAAATGAATTATCCATTCATCTCAGAATACAGAAAGATACAATTAAATAAATCCTCGGATATTAGCAAGGCATAACTGATAAAGATAAAAGCATAAATTAATAAATTACAAAGCAGAATTGATTAATCAATCCAAGAATTGCAGCTTACATAAAATATACAAAACAAGTGTCCACATTAATGAGAAAGAACTAGAAAAATATGAATATACAAAATAAGGACAAAAATAGGGTAAGAAACCACAGATATAGAAAATAGGTTTTTTTTAATGTGCACAAAGAGAGCAATTTTCTAGGCAAGTATAAATTATCAAAATCGACTTTTAAAAAAGTTTAAAGGGCTGAATAGGTGAAAAATCATCAAAGAAATTGAAAAATTTGTCAATGAATTGTCCCCTGAAAAGAAACTGAGCAGAGAGAAATTTGCAGGCAACAGTAGAGCCGTACGCCACACAGCATCGCCCGGGTGGACCTGTTATGAAGCACAGACCCTTTTCCCTAGGTCCCTCTATAGGTACCATCAACGGAACAAAATTGTCTCCCACTCTCCGCATTTTTAAAACAGATATAGCATTTTTACTATCAGGATAGGTCAAAAGAAGGGAAAGATGACCTAGGAGAGGAGAGCAGCTTCACAAAGAGGGAGGTGTAGGACTGGAGAAGCTGTGACAGACAGGGAGGGCATCCAGAGCCACCAAAGGTGGCAGCATTTATTTATTTATTTATTTATTTTTAAGATTTTATTTTTTCCTTTTTCTCCCCAAAGCCCCTCCGGTACATAGTTGTACACTTTCAGTTGTGGGTCCTTCTAGCTGTGGTATGTGGGATGCCACCTCAGCATGGCTTAGATGAGTGGGGCCATGTCCGCGCCCAGGATCCGAACTGGCAAAACCCTGGGCCACCGAAGCAGAGCGCTCGAACTTAATCACTCGGCCACAGGGCCGGCCCCAGGTGGGGGCATCTAATGTCATTTAACACTATGGGGAATGGGGAGGGGCTCTCTGCCAAGAAGGGAAGAGCAATCTAATGGGTGGTGACCCTGGGGAAAGCTGTGCGTGCGCACATGTCCTGGGGACCCTCAGCATCCAAGCCATTGGTGGGCAATGCCCCCTCTCATTAATTACCCTCAGTGCATTTGCCAGAACCAAGGCACAGAGTCCCAGGATATACTAGAAATCTCTGGAAGCACTGGCGGCCCAGAGCTCTGGCCAGCATGCGGACTTGTGCATGGGGCGAGGCTTCCTCTGTGAAATGATAAGCTGCGTCAGTCTTCCCACAATTACTACAATAATTGTAATAATAACCTACGAGAACAAGGGGGTTCGAGTTGGCCCCATTCCTAAGGGAAGACCCAGAAGACAGGAAGAGGGAGGGAAGGGGGAGAAAGGGGAGAGAGATGCTTCGCCGGCACTTTTTGAAAACAGTCCTTCTAAATGACTCTGGATTTGTGTTTTTCATTCAGACTGGCTGTGTGGCGGCATTTTCATTTTGCTCCATCTCCCCCCACCCTACCTTCCCAGCAAATGCCGTCCCAGCACTGTTGATTTCTGTCTTGCGACCATTATGGAAATCTGGCTTCATTTCTCCTCCTAATTTATGATCTTGTTAACATGCCCGCATGCCAGATGGTCCTGTTCTTCAGGTTGGGAGATAATGAGATAAACAAAAACTGCTGTAAGAAGCAAATAGGGGGAGTTTTTTTAACTTGAATGGGCCACTCTTCATCTCTACAAATGTGCTTGGGAGGGCTCTGCCGCAGCGCTCTGTGGTTCTGAGCAGGTGAAGAGCACTGGGTGGGACTCTAGCAGCCGCCTAGAGGGGAGTTATTTCTTCCACGCGGCACTCTTTGCTCTGGAATTCAGTCCGAGAAGAAGACAGGGCCTGGCTGTCAGCCCCTGCCTAGTCTTCGGTGGCGCTTGAAACTTCTTGTTCCATCATCCTGTCAGCTTACCACCATCACAGCACCCAACACCTTGTACTGTAATGGTTTATTTTTCTTTTTGCCTACTACTCTGTGAGCTCCCTGGAGCCAGAGACCATGTCTTTTCCTCTGAACCCAGAATGCCTAGCACAGGGCCTGACACGTAGTTGGCAGATATTCAACAAATAATTATGAAACACCTCTACTGTAAATATGCAAGACTGCTAAAGGGAAGAACAAGGAGTTGAATCAATAAATACACACTATGACATGGCATCACCAGCAGGATCAATAAGACGGGCTGACAGAGACCCCAGCCCTGTGGGCGCTGTGCCATGTTATCTTGAAGGACCCACCACCCAAGATGAGACCATAAATAGACACACGGAGGAAGAGTCTTCCATCATTCTTCATCCACCCTGGACCCTGGCATCTGGGGACTAGGAGGAATCTCAAGGGACCATCTCCTCTACCCCGTTTGTCTTCATCAGCTCTCCTCATACCTTCCCAGGAAGAAGGCCATCCAACACCCATTGCAGAAGGATGAGAAATGAAACAGGCAGACTGTTGTTACTAGGTTTACAATGATAAACCAAGTCACTCAGTGCAGTTGGTGTCTAGCCTCAGGGTCAGCAAACTAGGCCTGTGGGGCCACAGCCAGTACAATGTCCGTCAATAAATAAAGTTTTATTAGAACATAACCACGCCATTTGTTAACATATTGTGTATGGTTGCTTTCAGGCCACGACGGCAAAGTTGAATAGTTATGACAGAGAGCGTGCAGCCTACACAGCCTTTTACAGAAGTTTCTTGACCCCCAACTAGGGAAAACACAGGCAGCCCTGTTCACGCACGTACACAGGCTTGCGTAAGCACTGGCAGACCATCACCACATCCACCAGGAGGAGGCGCCAAGAGCCATGGCATTGAGTGAATGAATGAATGAATGAATGAAGTTCCAAGTTGTAGCAAGGTTCTCTCCTCCTCTCTTGAGCATCCAGAGGCTATGACAATTAATGTGCCAGTTAAAGCCTGACAGGGTGGAAAGTAGATTTCTGTTGTTGTTTTTCACTGTTTGCGAAAGACACTTTCTCACCAGCTTATCATTATTAACCATAAACAGTGCTCGTAGGGGACGATGGGGAATTTGGTTGGGAGGAGGGTGGGGGCCAGGGAAGGGTCAGCTGCTGTCTTGTCCTAATCCGGCCCTGAACCCAGGAAATATCATCAAAGCATGGAGTGCAGGAATGACAAACAGCCCGAGATGAGGCTCCAGCCAGAAGAACGTGCTGCTAGAGCGCCAAATGACAGGATTACCTGAGCAGGAGTGTACTAATGCCCCTGACTCTGAGCCGGGAAACATTTCAATTTAGCAATTTGCTAATGCCAGGACCCTTTTGTGAATATCCTCTCTGGTCTGCCAGTCTCTTCTGAGTTCCAGCTTGGAAAGAAATTAGCTTGCCTTGCCCCCTCCTGAGAACCTGGAGTCTGATCTTAGGGCTGTGACCTTTTTTGACAGCAAGTCACTGGTGACAACTCACCTTCAGGCCAGCTGCCCTGAGGGTCATAAAGTGCCTCTCAGTGAAGATTATTAGGAGCCCAACGAAATGCTGGCCCAAGTTGCTTTAAAAGGCAAAAACTCGTTCAAATCTCATCTAGACTAAAGGGCAAGGGGGCAAAAGTCTATGACCAGATCAGTTTTTGTTTGGGTGGGAGCCACTGGGATTAAAGAACCTAGAGTGTTGTAACACTGGTGGAGGTTATGTTTCCAAAGGAGAAAAACTTTCCTTACGTTTTTGTTCAAGGCCAGCCCTGTGAGCCGTCAGCTTTCTGGACAAATAGATAACCAGAAGCCGCACACAGTGGCTGAACAGTGTCCAGTAACTGGCCCTGAGGAAGTCTTAGTG